AAAAAAAAAAAAAAAAAAAAAAAAAAAAAAAAAAAAAAAAAAAAAAAAAAAAAAAAAAAAAAAAAAAAAAAAAAAAAAAAAAAAAAAAAAAAAAAAAAAAAAAAAAAAAAAAAAAAAAAAAAAAAAAAAAAAAAAAAAAAAAAAAAAAAAAAAAAAAAAAAAAAAAAAAAAAAAAAAAAAAAAAAAAAAAAAAAAAAAAAAAAAAAAAAAAAAAAAAAAAAAAAAAAAAAAAAAAAAAAGAGGAAAGGGGAGGCGGTGAGAGCGAAATTTGTCCGACTCATGCCTGGCCTTGTGCGGTCGTTGGTTAGCGGAAACACGATGTAGTTGCGAGTTATCATCGCGTGAACCGGTGTGTAATATTGTGAGGCCCTTGATTGGACGTCCATTCACGAAGCACTGCGCATCCTGAAAATATTCACGGTTTATTTGATTTGGAAGCACACACATGAACCAGTTTGAGCAACCAAGTAGGGTCAATAAAAATATTAATAAGACTTGAGAATCGCTCAAATAGCGTCTGAATTACTTGACTACCGTCGCGCCCTCATCATCTTCGTAATCGTTGAAAGCCACAACCTTCCTCCCGTCCTATTTCATGTTTTCAACTGTCGAGTTCTTTACAGTCGGGTGATCCGTGTATGGAGAAAACTGAAGAACAAGCCCCTAACTCAATGGATACTTCCTCGTTCCAGGTCCATGATGTATTTTTAATAGCATCATTGAACCTGGTTAATCTAGACAGTAATGTCCAAAAAGTCTTGAGCATAGGCGGGGGGGGGAAGGGGTGTAGGCAGGTGCAACGCGTTACATTTCACCATACCCACTGCTTTCAGCAAGGCGTACGGTCACCTGTGAGAGAATCTTCCACCGTAGCACTTGCCGCCGTTGCCAATCAATTGCTATCGAAAAAGGATATAGTCGCTGAACCTGCTACTGCAAGGCCACTCCAAATTCTTCTGATGAGGGAAGGCTATGAGTAACTTTGAATACCACACCTCAGGAAAACTGCTATTAAGCCCTCTCCGAAAATTCCAAAACGACGTTCCCCGTCTAATTATTACGAACAGGATCCCCACAATGAAATTGGCACAACAGAGTACTGACACTGCAGAGTCGCTACAATTGCTCATTGGCATTCCTGGCGGATTTTTTCCAAATTACCCAGATTTCCGTGTTGCTTGAAGGTGACATACATTTTTCTCAATTTGTTGATAGGGGAATTTTAATCGATACGTAAAATGGAAAAAATGGAAGGGCATCTACTGTGCAGAATTACACTGACCTTTTTGGGATCGAGGCTCACACAACCGTCCTCATTCACGAAATCACAATGATGTTCAAGGATTGCTTGTCCCGAAAGTAGAATGTCAGGACGTTTGGAGGCTTCCGGACGGCCAACACTGAAAATTTTCTCATCATGATGGTGTTCAGAAGTTAGTTAAAAAAAAGCGCTCCATTGCATTCATACTTGAGTAAGTAAGACAAATTTATGGAGGCTAAAGTAGATGCTATTTTGCTTCGGTCGAGGTATTTATGGTCTGTTATGTAGGTGGTTGCAGAACTTTTGGCCGTAGGAGAAAAAATCGATTCCAGTATCAAAATTCATTAACAGACGCATGCGCACCTTTATTGTTCCAATGCATATCACGCTAACCGGATTATACGTCACTTTCGACTTCAAGTTCTCTCGATTCAAAAATTCAGCCAAATTCACACAAACTACATAAACACTGGTAAATCATCGATTACGCAAATGCCACTGAAGTTACAAGGAAAAATGAAAATCCATGTTGTTTCAAATCTGAAAATTGCGAGGACGCTCTGGCCCATTACAGCGCGGCGGTCCATTTCAAGCTTATGAATCACCGAGGCCGATTAGTATTTCTTGGTATATGATTCGTACTGAAGCAGGCATTCGTAAATGATGACGCAAGAAAACTTAGGACTGAGAGCATTAGGCAAACGAAAAACAGTTTGGCCTCTAAACTCTAGGATTTGTGTTACACTCAGCAAGTTTAGCGCACAAAAAGTCATTGCTAACAAGTTACCCTTCCGTAGAAGCTGTACAGGGGTCCCCCCCGTAGCGTTTTTGTTCGCAAGCTCAAATCCACTTAAAGCGTGATCTTCTACAAAACTTTTAGTGATGTTTAAAAGCATCTTATCTCATTACAATACCTAGTTTTTCGTTTTATTCAGTACGGAATGTAATCAAATATAGTTTGAACGAAGTGAAAAATTCAGCGCTAGATAGAAATAGTCGATTTCGAACACCTGCATTCTTTGCTTTTTAAGGAAGAGCTGCTAATGCGCGATTATATTCAGATTGCGTACTCGCTGATGATCCTTCTTCGCATTCAGACGTTATATGTATTCGTCCAAGTTTCACCAATTTTACTTCTGGACAATCTGGATAATGGAGATAGAATTTTGAACAAACTGTTCAGCATCTTCTAATCCCAAACAGAGTTGCAGCTGCCGAAAGTGGAGCCAGCTGATCACTGCGCATGAGGGACATTCACGATCAGCTCAATGTTTGTCCGTTTCTACGCTGTGCCGAATGCGAGCGCTACTTGTTTATGTTCCAATCTCAAAGATTCCTACCGCAGCTTCGCGCTTCATCTCATCAGGCAACTGGTGGTTAACCACTGGAAATCGAACAGAGTTTTGTGATTTAGCTCACCTGGTAATACCTTCCTTAAGATAATACAGGAGACATTCGGACATGAGCGGATCCTCGTTGAGATTGACCAAATGTGGAAGCTGAAATTCGGGAATGTTGAAGATGATTCTAGAGCCGCAAGGAGTCCAAATGGATTCCGAAGCTTCACATTTCGAAGAGAGCAGATAGAAATACTATGCGGATGCAATAACCTTTGCCACTGTTTTCTTTGTTTCCGCAATAGAACTCATGGAAAGTTTGGCATTCGTTGACCCTTTATGGCTCCTAAGAAGACCTCGTTTTCAAAAAAACCGGATTCCTTCTCAATAACTTGCAATAGAATAGATCGAAACTAACATGAAATAATATCATAAACCTGCCCAAACCTGAAAAGCCCTTGGCAACCCGTATAAAGTTTGATGACTGGGAGTCGCAATCAATTCCTTGACGGTTGCAACCCACAGAGAATCCACGTACCTTCTTCGGACTGAACACCTCCGAGCGTGGTGCCGTCTTCAGTCGTTGCAAGACCCATTTCTCTCAGCTCCTCTTCGCGTTGGCGACGTATCTCCTCGGTTTTTCGCAGCTTCTCTTCCCACGTCTCGTGCAGTTCGGCGATGAGCTTTTCCGATGCCTGAAAATGTCATTAAGTCTTGAAAAGACGTATCTGCTTCGCCTGTTCTTTGACGTCATCCACGAAATGACGACGGAACAAAGCCTAGCAATGGAGGAGAGAACTTCCTGTTCGCGCTGCCACAATGGGCGCGTAACAGTCCGTCTTATTGGCGGTTTCGAGTAGATTGATGGCTGCTAGAGAGCTCGATGGAGGACATTTAGAAAAAGGAATGTTATGGGTCCCGAAATGATGTAAAGCTTCGCCGAGAGATTCCCATCCACTGGCGTTCGCGAGTTTTTCTTAATTGCCACCCTGTTGGACTGCGTTCGCCATTGAGATCATTTCATAAAACCAGGGACATTTTTCAGGTCAGATCAATTCCATGAAAGAATGAGTGAAACAATGCGAATTTGTGCTTCGCCGGCGGTGCTAAAACCTGCACGCTTAATGATCAAGAGAGGTTCACCTGTTGGAATTCACGGCCGCAATCATCAAAATACCAATTATTGGGTAACAAAATGAGCCTTCTCCCATCCGAGGATCGGTAAATAGGACCATAGTCCACTTCTCTCCGCCCCCTCCGTCATAATTGAGGTATGTAGGTACGAATCACGCCTTTTCAGTTATTAAAGCTTTGCCATGAAATCGGTCTATGCCTCATTCGGACCTCCGTTGCTCCAACAAACCCACATATCACCCTCTGTCCAAGGACCTCCGCCCCATTACGTACTTCCTACACTTCTTAAACGAAATTAGTTAGACCAAATATCTGAAAAGGATCGCCCCTCAACATTTTGATCCATCGAGTACCCTATCTATTGTTTTCGCGTGTTTTCTGCTGCTCAGAGTCATGTGCAATCAAAAGGGAAAGTGTGAAGGGTTGGCTCACTCATATCATCTCTTCCATTCAGCTTCAACGTCCCACTTTACAATTAAAATACAAATCTCAATATAACGGCACCTTGAGCTGTTCGATTGTGTCGTGATCACACGAGCGGAGTAGAGTTGTCGCGGTCACCGACGGTCTGCGAGGTCCTTCAGTCAATCAGCCCGCCCGCCGCAACTATCGCATTACCCTTCCTCTTTCAAGATGCCCGCCGCGACAACTGTTTTAACCTGAAGATCTCGGAGTTTGTATACGAATGGCAGGGCGGGTGACCCAACTGGACAAACCATTGTTTTCTATTGCCTAAGCGTGTATAAATTTGCAACTTATTTAGCTCGCCGTCTCTGCTCCTCGTTTTAAGTTCCCCAGACCGATCCTATATAAACAGTTTTGCGTTCGCGATCCTCGGTTGACCACGCCTGACAAACACATTTGCTTGGCACGCGTCGGCCACATTACCGTATAAAGTCATATCGCTGGGCGAGTTTTCGATGCAGCCAGTGTCTCGAAATTAGGGTCGGGAAGTAACAGATGTGTCCCGAGGAATGAGTTTTCACCACCTTGTTTGAAAATCGGTGCAACATTTGCTCGGTTGACAAGGAGCAAAGTTTTATGTGGCTTTCATTCTACATCATGTAAACCCTCGTCGCTGTCAAATGTCCCACAACTCCATATTAATGTCGAGTTTGAGCCATCATAAAATTGTTGAGCTCATGCCAAGTCTTATGTGCCATGCCGCTAACTGTGGGTATCGATTACTATCCCCTGTCCGGGTGAGTTGCCCAATTGCTGAACCTACTCAATGTTTTTTGAAAACGTACCGTAATGTGCTGAGCGTCTCGTCGAAATTGATGTCGGCCGGTGAAAGCGCCGCAATCATCGCTGTTTTCGAATTTCCGCCGAGGTTCTCTCGGAGCAACCAAGTGAGCACCGAATCTCGATATGGCACCACACCTTTCCCTCGCTTTGACTTCTTGCCAGCCTGAACTTGAAAATTTCTGGGGCTGCCTAACAACAGAAAAAAGGTAAGAAGCAGATAAAGGGCGGTTTGGAAACTTTTAAGCAGGGCATGATATATTTTGTTAGTTACTTGATCTTTATCAAAGAAGGTAGAAAACCCACCTCGTCGCCTTTTGTACTCTAAAATATGGGATTCACCGTGCTTTCGAGGACATTCATAATTCAAATGGATTCAAAAACGAAACCGAATAATCTCCTAATGATAAATATGAAATCTCACCTCCTCTGCAAGTTTGCTGATGACAAGGCCGAGGGTGGTCAGACTTTTGTTGATATTCGCGCCTTCCTTCAGTCGTTGACCTTCAGCACCTGTTGAAGTGGCCCGTTCACTTCCGGCCAAATCAACTAATGAGATCTTCGAGACCTGAAATGACATATTTAAATGCGACAGAGTGCAGCGATACGGTAAAGGGAGCTGTATTAAAAGCAAACCCCGGGATTGGCCCGACTAGTAGGAGGGATACCACGAGGGAAATTGTAAGGTCGTACTACCTAGATCACTCCAGCTTCGTCGCAAAAATTGCGCGGTTAGGGCGCTAATCCTTACGGGCCTGCAACCATCGACCCTTCCAACGCTTCCCACCCACCGCGAGAGGTGGTGAGATCAGCGTGCATTGATGTAGAGATCAGCGTGCTCTCTCAAACGACGTGCTCTCTCGCGTATTTTGTCTTCTTTGACCGCCCTTTCTCGCCATCGTACCACATCCGACCCTATTGAAGGTTAAGGCCTTAATTCAGCGTTCCCAAGATTCTCTTGCTTTCCTTTCCACTTTCAGGTCGTTCCGCAGCTAAGCTATCACTACAAAGCGCTGCTAGCACCAGTTCAATCCCGGAGTTTGCCTTCAAAGAATTCTTTCAAGCAAAATAGAGGTAGAGCCTCTTCTTCAGGCGGGTGTATAACCAGCTTAGAAAAAGTTAGACATACAACTCGATTTTTCAATCCCTAGGAATTTCTTGTTCTTTGAGCAGCCATTAAATAATTACTAGGGATCAGTTGAGTCTCCGCGATGACGCCCGCAGCGAAAAGTTAGCTTTGAATACATAGCATATGTTGTGAATGTATAGGTTCTGAACAGCACCTTTTCAGTGTCCAGATTGGCATCAGGACAATGGCGTTTTTGTGTTAGCACTATTGTGAAGACAGCATGGGAACGAGATGATGTTGAATTCATGTTTGTCGCAGCCACCGTTCTGAAATAACATAGTGCTCTATTTACACATAATTATTTTCATTAAATAAGGTAAAGTGGTGCTATCGCAGGATATGGGGCGTCCTTCAAAAATAAGACTAGGAGTGGGCACTAACGTGGGAGAGAGTTGAAAAGAGACTTTGGGCTTTCCACCTCTTCTGCGCTTAAGCCCATTTCAAAAGAAGAGGATTTTACGTAGATTTCGGAAGGCATGTACAAAATAGCCGCTATCTTGCGGAAGGTCCAAATAAAGGGTAAATTTTTGTCCAATGATATATGGTGTTTATTCATTTGGAATCTCGCATGAATTTTTCCCCTTCAGAAAAAAAACACCTGTAGCAACCAGGTATACATAGTACCTACATAATTGGTGATCATAAGAGTTGACCAGATAAAATTTTTTGACAGAGTCATGACTGTGAATTGTAATGGCGGCTTGATATGGAGTCAGCACAAATAAACCCGTTACTAACCGAGCTTTATTCCCTTCGTCCATAAGATGGCAGATATCCTGGTAAGAGCAGACGGCCATTTTGGTGAGATCTCACATACGGTCGAGAAGAGAGATGTCACGATTCGAGTTCCCTAAGAAATCGAAATGGATTAGAAACGGTCTTCCGGACGTGCAGCAATTGAGAGGTCTACCAGGGCTAGTTGTTTAGAGCCTGAACTCTATTTGAAGTTAATCGTCAAACCTAACAGATCGCTACTGTCTAATTTTATAATAGTTCATAAAAGTGCGATGCTTTGCCATGTTGTTTTTGGTGGTTCACGCCTTGCCATCTCTGCCCGTAGAAGAGCAATATTTCTTACTGGCTGCGTCTCATTTTCCATGACAGAAATTGCCTCTTTCGGCACGCACGAATGTACCCTCAAACAGCACTCGAGCAGCGGGAGCGGCTATGCTTCTCTCTCTAATGCTAACCTTCTTCAAAGGGCACGACGAATGTGTTATTATGAAGCCAAAATAGAACTGAGAAATGATTACATCGATGTTGTTGAGCCGACAAGCAGTTTACAGGCATACATCAGGGCCCCAGTAGGGACAAGTCGTTGAACCAACTTTCAAATCACAAAAAGACACTTTGAAAGAACAAATGCAAAAAAAAACGAAGAGAAAATCATGCCACTACCTCCGCTGTTTGGATTCAACAGATCTTTGACACGTTCGCAGTAGATTTCCATATAAGACACTTCGACCGAGTACTGTACATTGGTGTCCGTGCAACTTTTAACTCGTGCAAACGACTAAAAATGAGTATCGTGATTCAGGACGAATCGAAACCGTTCCCCAAATTGATAAACAGAAATGTGTAGCCATACAGCACGACAACAACAAAACTTTTACCCCTTTTATTTCTTTTCTTTCAGTTTTCCAACCAAAAAAAAAAAGGAAAAAATTTTAACTGATTAGGAATGGTTCATTCCTGAACATGTGCTATATTTTTGCCAATAAACTCCATTAGTAATGTACTATATAGTGCAAGTCCGGTAGAAAAACGATGGTTTAGCTTCTCCAGCCACAATTGATGCGAATGAATATATCAGTAATACAGATGCAGATAGTATTCGTCAGGTTAGACTGTAGGACTTACAATCGATTACAAAAGTCGTGTATGATTCCCATCTCGTTCTCGTCACCCGGCTTGCCCATCATCGTATACGATTTGCCACCACCCGTTTGTCCATAGGCAAATATACACACATTGTATCTGAAAAGGTCTGGTGTAATTGATACTCTCATCTACTTATTGTCATGTACTTCTAATATATTGTTATGGATGCTTAGTTGAGGAAAATCAAAGTGGCGTGGATAATGGGTTTCGGTTCGGTCAAGCAAAGAGGTGCAAAGAGTAATACTGTTCTCAAAGAAGAGTGTCCCAATGCAGAATCGTTGAACTAAATCTAGTTTGTATGAGTGGAAAGGTACTTAAACTCGAGTTGAAGTTCAGAAAAAATTGATCTGAGCTTTCATAACAGAAATCTCAGAAAAATTTTCGCAACGTCGTCGGCCATTTGGGAGCCCCACGGGTTAGATTCGACGAACTTTTTGAGATGACTAGAGTCGTAGATAGAGCTGCCGTTTCTCGGAAGGCAACTAAAAGCTCGCCGAATACATTAACGAAAAGAAGTGACAGACCCTGTTGACATTGACGGACCGGAGTTTTGGCAGAAATTCAATGCCTTGTGAGGATTTTCTGAGTGCACTCCTTGTCGAAGAAGCTCGTTCGTTGAACAATGCATAAACGTTCCCCAAGTGTGGCCTTACTTTTATTGCCTAATTTCTTCGTACCATAATTTCATAGGAACTATCCAGTTGCTTTGATTCGGCACAGCCCTTTTTCGAAAACTATCTAATCGTTTGCAATTTGGCTTCAAAAAGACTAAAAGAGACCTAATTGGCGTCTTCTCTGTGGATTCCGCATTTTATCAGACATTTTACTGTTTCTGTGGAGGGTCACATTTTTTTCATTGCGGGCGATGAGCATAAGAACTATTCAAAAATTAATTATTATGTAGCTAAATGGTTAGGCCACTGCGGCAAGAAGCGCTATCCAAAATTTATTGCTCCAAATAGAAGTGGGAAATGGAGGTGATTGTGAAGGAGACATATTTTACCCTTCGAAGGCGTGTTCGAGCATCTCGACTCCGAGGTCCTGGTAGACCTGAATTTGACTGGCATAGTGAGCATCATCTCTCGAATACGACCAATACGAATGATCGAAGTTGAATGAGTGGCACTTGTCAGGCGTCGATCCACTGATTGCTGGAATAAGTTTTTTTTTCACTGATCGAATCAAGGAGACATCTTCTTTCAGAAGTTTGAATAAAATTTCTACAAAGCGATGGGCAGGCAAAAATTTTTCGTAATCCTTTGGCAAATATTGTGCTGTTATGAATTATTCATAGCGTTATATTCTAGGCGTTTATACGTATGGGAAGTCTTGATCCTCAATGTTTTGAAGGCATGCACGCTGACTACCCAAATTGGACATATTAAGTTTTTTTGGGGCACATGAGTGAAGATGTGTGTGGAGACAACTCGTCCATTAGAACGCTGACCACTAGCTTACACGTCCATCAGCATAGGGCTTGGTGCTGCCTTAACACACACCGGGAAAAAATGTGTAGTCGTCACAGGTGTCGTGTCGTCACTGATGATATGGCTCGGCATCCACCTAGCTATGCATATCCATCCATCCAGTGTCGTTGACATAATAGCTTCGGGTCAGTCCAGAAAAGTGGGAAAGATCGATATCGTCTTGGGGAGGCAGAACCATGCTGAAACTCCTACCGTTCTCCTGAATACAGTATGCAACGAAGGACAAAAGGGCCAAGGCAGAGGATGTTCGAGCGCATGGCATTCGAGAAGACAGACTTGGTGGGTAGTTGCTCCGTCCAACGTTCGGCTGATCACTCTTCCTATCCGACAACGACGCCTTCTGCTTGTATATTCCTATCGCCAGTCTTACGGTATTTCTGTGGTACGTTCAAAAGAAGAAGACATTAGTTTGAAGAAGTAAAGTCTTGAGTTTTTTGTTGAGGCGTTTGAGCGCGCAAGTGACATATGCTTTGAGCATTTCAGGCTCTGACGAAGACGAAGAAGCCGAAACGTAAGCCTAATTAGAAGTTCAGTCTTGAAAGGCTTGAAGAATTATTCCTACTAAAAGAAGATTCGTCTGAGTGTTCAAATTCGACTTCAAATAAAGGCAAGCCCGGGGAAACTGGTAATAGGAGCGCTTCGTAGTGATGACTGAGCTGCGGATCGACCTGAAAGAGGGAAGGAAAGCAAAAAATCTTCAGGAACGCTGAAATTAAGGCCTTAACCTTAACCTTCAGTAAGGTCGGATGTGGTACGATGGCGAGACAGGGCGATCAAAGAAGACAAAACACGCGAGAGAGCACGCCGTTCGAGAGAGCACGCTGATCTCTATATCAATAGCGGTGGGTGGGAAGCGTTGCAGCGAGGGTCGATGGTTGCAGGTTCGTAATGGATTAGCGCCCTAATCGCGCAATTTGGGCAACGAAGCTGGCACGATCTATGAGGTACGAACCCCACATTTCCCTCGCAGTATCCTTCCTACTAGTCGGGCTAATCCTGGCATTTGCCTTTAAGGAGGTACCCTGCTGGTGACTCTTGATAAATATCACAGAAGACCAAATTTGCAGAAAACAACAGTGGTCATCAAGCCTTGACCAATGCCATGTTGGGATCACACACTTATTAAAAACCTTTCCTTCTTATTTCCCTTACATTTCCGAGCCTATTTCAACTGTTCTGTATGAGGATTTACCTATCCATCGCTTCCGACAACTAGCTCATCCTATCTTTGAGATAAAGCTCCTTCATAGCGTCCAGCCTCCTCTATTCTCTTTCAACCTTATGAAGGTCCCTTGACAAAAATTAGCTAAAAAGCATTGTGACAAACTGGTGAGCGAGAGCCAGGTTGGCCAGTATTTCGCCCATCTCTTCAACCCCCGATTCTCAAAAACGCTCCCAGAACTAGCACCACCATCCATATCATTTCGTCACGAAACAAACAAACAGTCGAATTTGGTTTTGCATAACAGGCTTTAAATAATTGTTTTGCGAGACTTCCTAATAGAATTCGCCCACCCCGCATTGACGACAACGTCGAAGAGCCGTCGCAGGCGGCATGGACGGGGCGATTCGCGTGACGCGCGCGCATCGATTCGGCCGTTAATTCATGTCCAATTTCGACTTTATTCCTCTGTTTTTTCCACGTTCTATTCCATTATGCATGATGACATCATCACACTGCTGCGAGGGATTCGACGCAAGCCAATTTTGCGAAACGGTTCGTTCAACGAGGTCAGCCCTGAGTGGGAGAGATGTCGGTACCAATTACTGCACATGTAACCTGGTGAGGAGTTTCCACCAATGGTCAATGCATTTTATATCTATTCCTACCATGAGACGCGTTCTGCGTTCATCAGGGCTCGGGTATTCCATGAAGGGCAATCAGGGTCGTTAGGTATGCTTCCTCCGAAGAAAGGTTGGGGAACGAAAATCCCTCCAAATTTTCTCTGACTCCCCAACTGGGATTGTCCTGACAATTTACCTACATTTAATATATGCGTA